AAGGGACAATTTTGTACCCCCACCGAAGGTACAAAAATGTACCTTTTTATATTATATAGCATTTTCAGGGTACTGACCCAAGCATTTTGATCCATTGGTGAACTGCATGCACAAATAAATAAATAAAATATTTTGGTTCACAGATGTCCATTTTTATCTATTAATGTAGAAATATTACATTACAATTCACAACTGAATGTGTCAAGAAATAAAATTACACAGTAAATATAAAGCAGACATGTAAAACAGTAAAAAGAACAATTTAGAAAACAAATAAAAATTGTTCACTCACTGTACAGTATATAATCTACCCTTAATACAAAGACCACAAGAATACTGTTTAAGATTTATAAACACATTACACAGGCTACATCAAGTACTGCACTTTATAAAGTCCAAAGTATTTGTCTTTAGTCAGAATACTCAGTCATAATAAATAATTTGTCATCCAAATTTTCTCTGTATTTCAGAATGAAGGCAATGTTTCTCTATAAATTGCTTCAACAGTGCAGAAAACCAAATACATCAGTAGCCTCTTCCTCAACATCAGTAGATTACTCCTCATCATCCTCAAGTGGAGTTGTAATTTGTTGTAACACAATATGTGTTTATGCTTTTGATAAACATGACATGTAAAGCACTCATATCTGGAAAATGTTCTTTGATAGTCATTAGGACCACAAGTTATTTAAAATTTTGCTTTATGCATGAATGAGAGCAGTGTGCTGGATTAACTTTATGATTGTGATTATCCCAAGAGCATGTAGAGAAACAAAAAACAAGGTTGATCACTTTGGTAACTGGAGTAGATCGAGGCTTGTCACCGTCCACCGTTCATTCAAAACAATCCACTGCAGAAACATCAAGGTGTTCTTCTAGTAAGATGGATATGTCAAAAATGTATATTCATCCACATCATTAGCCCGGCCAATCACAATCCCATCAACTCTGAAGACTGCCGTGACTCGTCTTGTTAACACAGTTGTCCAGTTGGTGGCCTCCTCCTGTACTTGAACTGTTGGATGTGGTGAAGATGGTTCACTGTAAATGACAAAGCAATAATTACATTAATATCAGTCACTCTATCACTGATGAAGAGAAAATCAACATGCATAGAAAGTAAAATAATTAATATTCACCGATTTAAAAAAAAAAAAAAAAGTATCACAGATTAAAAGACTAATATAAGTTTCATTCATTCATTCAATTTCTTTTCGGCTCAGTCCCTTTATTAATCTGGGGTCGCCACAGTGGAATGAACCACCAACTTATCCAGCATATGTTTTATGCAGCAGCTGCCCTTCCAGCTGCAACCCAGTATTAAGAAACATCCAGACACACTTATTCACACACACATTTATACACTACAGAAAAATAAGCTTACCAAATTCAGCTATAGTGCATGTCTTTATACTTGTGGGGAAACCGGAGCACTTGGAGGAAACCCTCACGAACACTGGAAGAATATGCAAACTCCTCACACAAATGCCAACTGACCCAGCCGAGGCTCAAACCAACGACCTTCTTGCTGTAAGGTGACAGCACTACCCACTGCGTCATCCTAATATAAAGAATATCAAGCATTATAAAATGCATTTATCACAGCATATACTAAACAGAAAACAACATACGCACCGGAGCACAACGAAATGTTGAAGTGTCTCGCTTAACAAGGCTGGCAACATGAGAAGTGCTGCTGTAAAATCAATTCCTGGAACATAAGATGTGGCATACAAACAAATATGAAGGAATCCATCCAAAGCTAGAATTTAATAATATTAATCAAGTGGAGAAAGTTTAGAAAGAGTACCTTAGAGTCAGGTCCATAGCATTCTTCAGTTGATCTCTCATCTTTCGATGAAAACCTAGAAAATAATTTTAAACACGTGGGTGTACATTTATTGTTGTTTGTAAGTAAAAACCTACAAATTTAAAATAGTATGTAAGCCATTAAAACCATGGTATAGATAATGAGACATACTTACATCTTGTAACTGAGCCATGCTTTCATATGAGATGCCTTCATTGGTCTAATGCTGTTAGCCTGCATTATGTTGTTCAATCTTGTCCTGAAATACAATTGGAAACTTCATAAACTTCAGGAAAGCAATAAGATAAAGCAATAACTATTTATTTATAGTATTTTATTTATATATAAGTATCACGTTAAACGATAGTAAAGCACCAACAATTCTGGACATGAGAGTTTGTGGACACTCCTCAACATTAATGTAACTTAGACACTGAAACGAAGATATGTACAAGCATACACACGCCACGTTTGTAACTAGCCACGTTTACATAATCAGTCGCTTTGCCGGTGACAAAATTGTGATTTTTCTTCACAAAATGGCGGTGTATATAACCGTCTAAAATTACATTTCCGCTGTCAACCGTGGCTAGAAAATGGCCTCAAAATATAAAAAATTATCGATAATTACAAATTCCAGTATTAATAACAAAAGGTTTTATATCAAGGTATATGAAGACTTTAGTCGCGCCAGCTCCGGGCCACACCGCACATTACTCACGGCCTGATTCCGGTGCACGGATACGGCAGCGTTGGCTCGCTTCTGCCGCCGCATCTGGCCCGAGTAACGATACAGCAGACGGACTCGGGCAGGCGAGAATCTAGCCGCAACTGGACCGAGTGTATTTTGCTATCTGGGTTGCGATTATATTCCGCCGTGGCAACACTTATTAATAAAGCAGTAACGTAACGTAACATATAAGGCGCGAATACGTAACGTAACTTAGGCGATAAAGGGAACTTTTACACCGAGAAAACTAACAGCATATAGTACTTACCTTCTATAACGTTATGTCCCTCGGTGACTTCGATATCACATTGTATTAACTTCTTTAATAAGCTGCAGACATCTTAGCAAACTCCATCCTGCAGGCCAACGTAACGTAACGTTACACCATAGACTGTAAAATACGTTACACCAGCCAGCCCGGAGCACAAAGCGGGGGAAAGCCGAGACCAGAGAGTCAGACAAAATCAACAGAACACGGCTTCACATGTAAAAATGAGACTGAAAATATATCTTTAATACATTCTTACCTGAAAAGTGTGGACTCCAAAATAGACTTTTCTTTGAAAAGCGTGCGAAGTTCTGTGTAAACAGCCAGCATACTCGACCGACCGCCTCAGTAACAAACACTACTATAACGTCTCAACAAGCCAAATTCTTAAAGAGACAGCAACATCACCACCTGTATGAAGATGCTGTCACTCTGCATGGTTCTTATTCCACATCCCATATACTATAGGGTCTTAAACAGTTAGCAAAGACCAGTATTTACGTTTTTAATTATTAAAATTACATTTAATTACAAGTTAAATTATTAACATTTTTGAGAAAAATTGTAATTTAAATACATGAAAAAAATTAATTATTAAAATATTTAATTCAATCAATTTATTTATTTATTATATTTTTAAATTATGTATTTTAGTATTAATGTTTAGTATTAATACATTTAAATTAGTGTTATATAGTGTCTTGATCTTATCATGAGCTGAGGGTACAATTTTGTTCCTATAGGGAAACAAAATATATAATTGTACCTTTAAAGGTGCCAAATTGGTCCTTTACGGTTCAATTTTGTATCCAAATGTGCTATAAAAGGTACAAAAATGTACCTTTCAAACCTAAATCTGGACATTTGTACCTTTATAGCCCATTTGGGTACAAAATTGTACCCTAAGGACCAATATGGGACCTTTAAAGGTACAATTTTATATTTTGTTCCCTCTAGGAACAAAATTGTACCCTCATTGTACCTTTTTTTCTGAGAGTGTAGTGTATGTGTGTGAATGAGTATGTGTGGATGTTTCCCAGAGATGGGTCACAGCCGGAAGGGCATCCGCTGCTTAAAAACGTGCTGGATAAGTTGGCGGTTCGTACCGCTGAGGCAACCAGTTCTATAGATTTCATAAACCATGCCGCATCCCGATAATCAGGCTAACTTTTTGCATACTGATACAGAATTGAATGCCTTGTAAACTAGCATTTAAGACTTTTAAATATTTTTAAATTGATCTAAATTGATCTAAATAATACTTTAAGACCCAGCGGACACCCTGCAATAATTAATAAATCTTACAAGATGTCTGGAAATATGTTGCATAATGCCAGTCTATGGTCTTGGCTCTCTGCAATCAACATCTGCATTGACTATCAAACATTGCAGTCGTAGCAGAAGCCAGGAAGAGTTTGGTTTAAGTCGTCAAGTCAGTGATATCTCATTCTGAAATTATTATGGTTCAGCTGACAGCATTATTACTCTTCATATCACTGTTTACAAGTCAACCAATCACAACAAACTGGACCATCTGACCAATTAGAGCAGAATAAGTTCCTAGAAACCACTGGATATTTGAACGAATCACTTGCATGGATATAAGCCAATAGGAGACCTCCAACAACAAAATTAAATATCTTTAAAAAAACATGATAGGAGACCTTTAAAGGTTTCGTGAAGTGCTTTAAAATGTGCATTTTTATTTGATGTTTGGAATAATCTCAAGTAAAAAATGAAAAGAGAGTGGGACAGTAGCTCCGCCCCTTTTAAAGAAAATAGCCAATAGGGTTTTGTTTTTAATCACAGCTCTGCCAGTGAGAAGGGTTGATCTCAAGCACATCAAATGAAGAGCAAATGAGAAGCATCTTGATGGGGGCGGGTCATGTCAGATACTCAAAAGCATTTGATTGGTCAAGATTTTATGAAAAACTAAAATATGAGGTAATGTAAAAAAAAAAAAAAAATCGTTGATCCATTTAGGCAGAAGTGAGTGACAAACTGCAAGTTTTACATTTTATATCAATTTTATATTTTAAATTTTATAACTTAAATGTTGTCACTGTTTTGGAGCACACTAGCTAATAGATATGCTTAAGACTAATAGACTGGAAAAACTAACTTTATTTTAATTTCACTAGACCTTTAAAACCAAAGATCATTAAAAAGTATTTCAATGTGTGATCCCTCAGGTGAAGAAACGTCAGCAGGCCATTGTGGGCTTTCTGGAGGCCAACCGGATTAGCTTTGAGGAGGTTGACATCACCATGCTGGAGGATCAGAGGCTCTGGATGTACCAGAAAATTCCAGACGAAAAACGACCTGAAAAAGGCAATCCTCTGCCCCCTCAGATCTTCAATGGAGAGGACTACTGTGGTGTGAGTCGATCTTTTACTTTCATTACAAACTAATCTACATGCTTTATATCAGACAGGTGATCTACCATCTCCAATTAAACTATCATTAACATTCAAATATCTATTAGAAGCTAATTTATAGCTGGACACTTGCACGCTGGTTACATCTTCATATCTTCATCAACATACCACAGACCTCAATTTGGTATTAATTGGTTCAGCAAAAAGTCTGATGGATTATGGAGGTGTTTGCTAAAGTAATACTGTGTTTCTCTCAGATAGTTCAATCGATGAAAAGCTAAAAGCTCTGTCTGGTCAATGAGTCCATGTTGGGCTGGTTTGAGAGGATGTTTATTAAAAATCAATACATGTAAACAAAGATCCATGGTGTACCTTGTGTGGCACTGTTCCCTTTTTCAGCCAATTACATTCTAGCGTGGCATTTAATCTGTTTGCTTCAGCCAATCATATTAATTAATATATATGCTGCAGGTTTGTGTGCTTTGTAGTACGTTTTTTTGTTATAAAAAGTTAAAAGCAATAAAAAAAAAATCTTATTTAAGGTAAAATAAGCCACTGATTGTTCTGAAACATGACTTCAACTTTCAAAATGTAATAAATAAACAAAAGGATTTGCAGGCAAAAATTCACATATACATTTCATTCTATTACAGTTGTAGTGTAATCACTATGACACCCTAGCCATAAATGGTTGAAGAATCAAATACATCTTAAATTAGAAAGGAATTATCCCAAGGCTCGAGTTATGGTCAGGTTTGTATATTTTATGAATGACTCATGGCAGTAATGGTTAGATTTTGCTGAGTGTCCAAATGAACTGATCTAATCTCTAACAATAATCCTGATTACTCTCAGACTCCACCCCTAACACATCTCTTAGCCAATCAGAAGAGCAGATCCTCTTCCTGTGCAATACATTACAGTGATTAACACTTTAGCACTGATAGAGGGAAAGAGGCATTCATTATTGTACATAAAGAGCTAGTGTTGCATATTTTATAAAACAAAATATGGACAAAGTGCTTCAGATTGATGGATGGATAAATAGATAGACAATTTATTAGAATCAAATTTTTCTCTTAATTGGTTTTATGTTATTATAAGTGGAAATATTATATCTATTCTTAAATATAAATAGAGCCAATCTGCTGAGTTACAGTTGCTAAAAATACTCTCCTGAGTCATTATCATTTGATTATTTTGCAGGATTATGAAGATTTCTTCCAGTCTAAAGAGACGAACACAGTGTTCTCATTCCTCCGTTTGCCCTCTGTGAAGGTACAAACACTCCCACTTCTCTTTTAATCACTTCACAGTCCAGCACAAAAAGCTTAACATGCTTAAATCAAAACCCATTTTTTTAAGAAGCAAACTGTTTTTGATAATAAAATCTGTACTCAAAGAATCTATTGTGCATACACTTTATTTTTCATACCCAAGCAAGCTGCTTTTGGCTAGTTTAATCAATTACAAAAATTTTGATAATGTCAAAAAAATTGTAATAAATAAATCAATAAATAAATAAGTTGTTAAAAAATCATAAAAATTGCATTTATTGGTGAGCAAGCAAAATATTCCAAAAACACAGGCATGATTGGAGTTGTATTTGCTTGGAGTATTTGTATGATGTATATCACACAGGACACCAAACTTTAATACATTCTTTATTCAACTCAAAAGGTTTTAGTGTTATATTAAAGTTATATAGTTGTATACTGAGTGTTATTATAATTTCAGTTTGTTTTATACTTTTTTATTCTAAATATACTATAACATTTAAAGCACTTATTGTGGGGATGGACATTTGTAAATGTTAAATGATGCTGACAAAATAGTCACACTTTTGTTTAATTATTAGAATACATTGGAAATTGCGCCTAAACAAATCTACAGGAGGCTATATTTTGAGTCATTAATTTATTCATTTTCTATCAGCTTAATCCCTGATTATCAGGAGTTGCCAAAGTGGAATGAACCGCCAACTATTCCAGCATATGTTTTACTCAGATGCCCTTCCAGCTGCAACCCATGACTGGGAAACATTTTTTGAGACATCAACCTGTAATTTGAAAAATAGCAAAAATTAATTTATGGATTAAGTTTTTATAATAGGTTACCTATGAATAGTTCACCTTTAATAGTTAACCTTAAAATGAAAATTAAAAGTTTAGGTGGGGATTAAAGATAATACATTTTTTACTTTTAGACTTACTGTTTTGCTTCACAGGCATTAACGTAGCATTGCTTGATATGGTATTTTGACTCTCGTAGTTATAATTACCATTGATTTGGATTATGAAACACCATTATACTTATGAAACCCCAGAAACGTAGCTAAAATGTTCTTTTTTAAAGCTATAGAAACAAAACAAGGCACCTAGATTTTGTATTATCCAATGGTAATTAAGTTAACTGAAAAATTGTCATTTTTATAAACGCTAATAATATAGAAATTAAAAATTATATAGAATATAATTACTGTACAAGGATAATGTAGTACTGCAACAAACTATTCTGAAATACAAACTACACAATCCACATAAACATCAAAAGCTTAAAAAAAAAACATCTTAATTACACAATCATTCATTCATTTTTTTTCAGCTTAGTCCCTTTATTAATCAGGGGTCACCACAGCTCAATGAACCGGCAACTTTATTTCACAATCAAATAAGAAATATTATATGTATTCAAGATATATTCTGTGATTTTCACTCAATTTAATCTATTTATATCCTGTATACGAATCAGCAAGAATAAGATAGAGATAATTAAGATACAATTTTTTGTTCTAGCTCAACAGTGGCTTAATGTGATGATATTAAGCATATTATTAAGAGGATTAACATCTCTTTTTCCCCACAGGACTCTGAATCCTAGACTTTATTGCTGACATTTCCATAGACTGAAACACTGTGCTATTGCCTCTTTCTCCTGTCGCGTACCTCTCGTCCCCGACTGAAGCCCTCACTGCCAGCGATGCTTTTGCCAAACACACGCTGCCCTCCAGCTTTCTCCATTCAAAAACACACACACACGCACAGGGTGGTCAATATTTTCTATGCCTAATTAAATATTTATATGTGTTGCTGTTATTACTTTGTTTCATTTGTTGTACATCTGTTGCATGAAAAGCATAGTTTGCTTTTTATAACACAATACAGGGATTGAAGATTGAGTTTATAGATGCGTGGTAGAGTTGTGCCGTAATTAATACATGAAGTTCTGAATGTGTTGTAAATTGTTTTTGTTAAAGTGATAGTGCACTCCTAAATAATGAACATTTACTCAGCACCCAGCAAGACAATTTGTGTTTAATAGACATCTAAATGTAGACAGCTTGGCTAAAACAAAAGCTTAACATGGGCTGTCAGTGAAAATCTAAAAGACATCTAAGAATAGCCCAAAACTAGACTAGTCGTCAAATAGACAGATCATACAGAGTTTATATGTGTAGTCATTCATTCTTAGACCTAAGACCGATTCTTAGAGGCGTATTCTTAGACATCTATTATATTTTTCACTGACAGGCCAAATTTGGCCTTGTTTTAGCCAGGCTCTCTACATTTAGACATCTATTAAGACATCAAAAATTGCTTCCTGGGCATTTAAATCATAGTTCAAAACCTCTATGATATATAGTTTATTTTTCTGTCGAACACAAAAGAAGATGTTTTGAAGAATATTGGCAACTGGTAGGCCTTGAAAACAATAGTAGGAACAAATATAGCCTACTAGAATTTTCATTTTTGGTGGAACTATCACTTAAAGGAGCTCAACAGACAGGAAATGTAAGGAAACAGCAAAAGAATCTGGTTTAATATTGTTTTTTCTGCATCCTTTGATCTATTTAAGTAAAAATAACTTCAGAAATGGCTTCATAACAGGAAATATAATCCTGACCTGCATGAAGATGTGTTTCCACGCCTCATCATGTGTACTGCTCCTGAATCAGTATTTGATGTCAAAACCTACAGCCTTCATTCCTGTGGAAAGAAAAAAAACTTAATAACTCAAATGTCCAGGATCTCTCAGTCTTGTCTTCTTAAAGTGTCTGTTAAAGTGTTTTTCTTCTCAGGGGTATGTTAGCATGTAGCATGTAGCACACTGTGAACTTTCAGCTCATTATCAAACGATGCTGAGGTGAATATTTATGTTTTGTTTACACACAGTACTCATTATATTTAACATTCCTTGTTAGAAATCCCCTGAAACGAATCACAGACACGCTCTCAAACCTACTTTTCACGTATTGTTCATTATATCGCGCCTTGCTTCGTTTCTCCCACACTTTCATTAAATGATTCCACATGAACGAGCACCGCGCTTATGTTTACGCGCACATACACACCATTCTCAGGACACAATGATGTTTTATGCCCCTTTTTCCTCTCACTTATTGTGAAATGCAATCAATAATTTCTCTATGTACGTTATTGTTTACTTTCCAAATCTAAATGAATATATTTAAAAAAAACAAAAGCTAATTTGTAATAAAGTATATTCGAAAGTTTGGTTTCTTGTGTTTCTCAAGACTTTGCTTGGATAGACAGAGATCCCACACTTAACTTTTAGTGCAGTGGTGCATATCATGCATGCCTTTGTATGTGGTGCTTTTGCATTAATAGCTAATATAAGTGGATGACGTTGAGAGCGTGAGAAAATGTTGCTCCTGTATAAATAGATACAGATGGCATGCTGTCCATGAGTTCATGAATGCTGATGAATTGAATGGATAAAGTGTTCAAATGACATACTTTACAGAAGACCTGCCTATTGCTTGATCTTAAAGTTACTTTACTTTAAAAATGCATGAAGTGTATTGATAGTGCATTATTTATTATTATATTAATTCATTAATTTTCTTTTTGGCTTAGCCCCTTTATTCATCTGGTGTCGCCACAGCGGAATGAACCGCCAACTTTTCCAGCATATGTTTTACACAGCGGATGACCTTTCAGCTGCATTCCATCACTGGGAAACATCCATACACACATACAGCTAATTTAGCTTACCCAATTAACCTTATAGCGCATGTCTTTGCACTGTGGGGGAAACCGAAGGAAACCCACGAACACAGGGAGATAATGCAAACTCCACCATGAAGTTGCTGTGAGGGGGTTGTGCTACTCACTGCACCACCGTGACAGCCTTGTTATTATATTTTAATACAATTAAAGTGTGTACAATGAAAGTAGCATTTAATGCAATTACATTTTTATTAGTTATAAAATTAAAATAAATAATGAAGTGGATAGTTAAAATTTTTTGATAAGGCAAAACAATGCAAGTCTTATAAGAGGATTTCTCCATACTTCTTTACTTCATAATGAAAAAAGGCTAAAGGTTTGAGTGAGTCTGCTCCCTAACACTAATATATGTAAATAACTTTTACTGTACCTGCTAATAATGAAAAAAAAAAAGTCATGTGGTTCCTCAACATCTTGCCATGTTTTGATGTTTTACATTTAGATAGATTTACTTGAGAAGCAAAACAACATGAGATTTGTGCAAAAATGGATTGCAATGAAGTAAACTATAAACATCTGCCAATGGGCTCATAAAATATCACTTTAATCCAATATAAAAGTAATTTTTATACCAGAAATTTGTGCTCGTTTCAAGCATAAACTTAATTTTGCATTTATGTAGATTTGTCCTGCACTAAAACATGCTAAAACTATTTAGGAAATATTGCTATGAATTAGTTTTTTTTATGGCAGTGTATGCAATATTTAAATGTCATGATGACTACAGTACAAATGAATGACTTTCTGCTCTGATTTGAGACATTGTTAAGGGTAATGGGGGGTTATATTGTGTAAGGGCAAGATAAGCTAATTAAAACACTTTCTGCAAACTATAATAAAATACCATTTCCATTGGTTCAGACATTTTAAAAGGACTCAATGTTTTGAAAAAATATCAGATGGACACAATGTATTAATAATGATAATAAGGATTTGCAACATTTGAAACATTAACACATTACTACAACCTAGTGGCCAAATAGGGAAATTTTTTCCCACAGCTCTAAAATATGGTGCTATATTTAGATATGCCTGTGGGACCAAAATGAGTTTTCAGCATCAAATCAACAGAGTAATTAATATACTCTGTAAAAAATATCCGTAAATTAGCAGTTTTTTGTATAATCTGATTAATGTTTTATTTAAATTTCCCCAGTTTATTTATACTTTTAAAATTGCATTAAAGGACATTGATGTTTCTTTCAACAACTTTTTAACCTTGAAAAACAAAAAAGTGACATTTCTTAACATTTTTATAATTTAAAGTGATCTATTGTGTGGGTTTGTGTTGTATATTACGCTGCAAAAACCTTGTAATCTAATGTAATGTGTATTTAGACACACAAATAACTTTACAATCACGATGGCTTGGGGGGAGGTGTCTCTCCACACCACCACCAGTGTGCAGCATCAATTTGGATGATGCGATCACAGCAAAATATGGGGACCCAAAACAACTCTATGGGTGTTAATTTCAACACTTTGAAAGTGTCTCATGGGGTCCACTCAAAACAGACTTAAATCAACACTTTCAAAAGGGTTGGCACATTGACACCGAAGTAAGGGTTAATTTTAACTCAGGGCAGAGTTAAAAAAAAAGTAACTATATTTAACACCACCTGGTGTAATATATTATTTTATTCAACTCTCTTGAGTGTAAATATGGTAAAAAGGTCAAATAGACTGTAAATTACAAAATAAAAAACATTTTATTTGAAAACATTCACAACTTTAACAATTCATTCAATTTTTAAAATGCAACAATGTCAAATTTGCTTTAAATGTTTTATTAGTAAAGACAGTATCAACAAAATATGATGTCCAAACTTGATGTTTCATCAGAGCAATTTGAAAGTTCAATATATCGTCACTCATAGTTTTCTTCTGAACGCATAATTTTCTTCTGAAATTACATTGTAAACAACTTGGCGTGCAAATCTTTCACTTCTGCTGTTTCCTTGGTCCTCCATATCAAACACAGCAGTTTAAATGAAGGTATAAATGCTGTAAACTTGTGTGAAAACAAACTGGAGCTAGGAAATCTCATCAAGCATGTCCTGTGAATGAAGTGCTTCCCAGCCACAGGATGACCTTTTTATCCATGACGATGTACAGTAGTAGCTGCTGATCGCTCGTCTGGTGGTTCCTGATGCACAAATATACTGTAGGGTGATGCTCATCTAAGAACTCTTCAAGACTCCAGCATGACTAAGAAAAATGTTTGAAAACAAACTGCAATCAAATTCTATGATATATTTAAAAGAACATTTAAAGTAAATAAAACATTCAAGAAATCTAAACTCGCCTTTTGAAAATCTACATGATGATCCACAACTTGACTCTCCCAGCTGGTTGAGGTGACAGGATATGGAAAAGTAGAAAAAACACATATATCACTGTTGGATCTCCAAAAACAATTAGGTTAACCACTATGACTAGAACTGGAAAAACAGGCAGCTGTCTGTCCAGAATCCTGAATTTAACACAACACTTGAAGCAAAATTTAGAGGATCTTAAAATCTTTTATATCATTTAGTGATGCTGACTTCCCCAAAATATTGGCCACAGTGTAAAAAATATTCATAAACTTACAGTTTTCTGTAAGCGTGTGCGTGCGTGTGTGTGTGTGTGTGTGTGTGTGCGTGCGTGTTTCTTTACCAGATTCAACTTGTTAGGCCCTTTCAGGTCCAGTATTGACGCCACCTTTCCTGGAGTCTAGCAGATGTTTCAGGTCCAAATATAATCTATAATATTAGGATAAGCAGAAGAGGAAAAGTGCAAAGTAAAGAGCAAAACATTATTTAAGTAACAGTTCACCCACAATACAAAACTTATCACCTTCATGTCATTTGTTATTCTTTAATGCTCTAATACCCTCTCATCTTATTGTAAAACAAATACAGAACTTTATCAAACATACCTTCATTATTATCACCACATATGACCAAGAAGATGTGCTTGGTCATTTCACCAACTCTGGAAATACACCATCCGTCTCTAATCAGCCACCGTCACAGGGTCTTGTGTTATTGTATAGAGAACTGTGGCTGTTAAAAAACAACAACACATTAGTATCTAACACATATGCATAACCTTCAGATAAAAAAGAGAGATGAACATCACAAAGTATGCCTCACACTTTTTCAGATATCTTTTGATTCAGATGTTGATTATTGATAATAAATCTACAAATCAAACCTGTATCATCATTAGGCTGCTCAAATATGAATCAGTTGATTAATTTTACAGACAGGTGGCTGTTTACAACGCACTAATAAAACGGAAATGTTGTGTACATGCTAAGTTTAGCCTATAGTTTTAAGCACAATATCATGCGGGAGAAAAAGCTTGACTAAGATGTTCCTGACAACAGAAATAGCCTAACTTACTAACGTCAGACATCCCGAGTTGGGAAAAGTCATTTTCGGGGGATACAGAGTTGATTTGCGGGAAGTAGCGGGAGAAATGAGTACCTAAAGAGCAATGGGATGAGTTGCGCGCGACATACCTGAAGAGCTGGGAGGCATGCGGTGGAGAGGGGCGTGCAAAGTGTTTAATGACCGGGCGGGAGACGCGCGATTTCCGGGAGATGATCATTCATTTGCGGGCATCTAATTGGGCATCTGGGAGTCTCTGTGCATTTGCGGGATAACGTTAACGTTAGTCCTGCAACTTCCGGGAGACTTCTGTAACGTTAAATGTCAGATAAAGTGCAAACGCGGTCATTCAAAGACATTAATGTTAACATTCCGACTTTAATGGTTGTCAACACTTAATATAATTCAAGCGTACGTTATTACACGAGTCTATGGACTAACGGTATATGGACGGCCACGAATGAACCAGTTTAAAAGGGCCGCGGTGTTTAAAATAACCAAATTAACGTACACGAATAACAAACAATCATTTGTTTCAGTCAGGAAGCCTTTTACAAGTAAGCATATGTTCATTTACTCACCAGATATGTTTTTGAAACTCTCCAGAGCTTATGGAAACCGTCCTGTGTTGCCGTTAGCATCCGGGCACAGTAGGCTAACGTTAGGCGGCTCCGGGGATTCCCTCGCTAGTTTGCTTGGAATTAAAGGAGAAGTGTCGATTTTATTTTACAGATGGGTAACAACGCACAAAATGGCATTAAGCGTGACAGAAATGTGTTGAACATGTACATTTGATGTTTTTATGCACTATGTATGCGTGAGCATATAAAAACATTCTTGAAAAGAAGTCAATAGTAATGCAGTTAAGCTAGATACACAAACGACCATGAATGAACCACAGAAGTTTAAAATTGTAACTCCATTCTAAAGTTATTAACTTAACAACATGTTTACAACTGTATTTCCTTAAATAAAGTCAGTAAAATACCAACATTTAGGTAGTTTGACTCACCAGTTGCTGTTCTAAAGCTGCTTCCCAAATGGCACACTATACACTATGCACTAATGCACTATGTACTTATGCACTTACACACTCAACAGGATAGT